TGGAGAGTGAAGGTTGTATGATGGTGGAGGAGAAAGCGCCATTGCTCGTCACCTTGGTGGTGATGTGCTGTAGAGTCCAGTGTTACCACATGGGACATGAGTGGGGCTTGGAATAGGAACACAGTGAAAGGTGATCATGTAGAGGAGGAATGATGTAGGAAATCTGATTTGCCATAATGCCAGTCATTTGGGATCCTCGATGATGACTCCATCAGCAACCAGCACGAAACTGCTGAGGAAATCTTAAAGATGGCAAAGAAACGAAGAAGAAGAAGAAGAAGATATCATGAAAGTTAGAGAAATCAAATAATGATGTTCTATGCCTCGTCGAACGTACAAAAATAATCTTACCGTATGAGTTCATATAAATAGCTAAGGAGGATTAATCATGTTCCTCGTAGATGATCGAGTATAATCATAACATCGATATTTTATGAAACAAATAAAATAATATCATCCTTACACCATAACTATTTTGAGATGTTCATCTTAAAAGCCTACAAGGAGGAAAATTCATCTTACAACCAACAAGAAATAATCGGTGTGATGGTGGCAGTTCATGCACTTTGTAATTTGTTTCTTCGTCTCATGCATCAAAATGATGTGGCTACTTGAATCTTCTTAGAATATTTGATGTAACTCAACATGGTTTACACAATGTTTGGAGTACAAAATTCAATGGAAGGACTTTTAAAAGCCTTGAATAATGATTGTTATTATTCATATTTTCATATCCATCATGAAACTCTTGATAATAACACCTATAATCGGAGTGGTCATAATGATCATGAGGAGAATTCAGCAAAGCATCAATAACAAGTAACAAAGTTCACCAAAATACTACATAGCTCGAGACAGTCTCCACATATTATTATCTCATCTTAGTTCTCATGCAAGACAAATCGAAGTATTATATTTAAGAAATATCATATATATGCAACAACAATCGTAAGTTTCATTTTGTGGGATTAGATTTATGGTTCTTTTGTTGCTATTAAGATATATAAGAAGTTAAATACTTAGTTAAGTTTAGAGTAATTAAATTATTATTTATAATTTATATTAAAGTATTTTAGGTTTTTTACAATCTTTTCTCATATAGTATTAACCTTTTTTTTTTTTTTTACTATAGTATCAGAAAGTCTCTTAAGCACAAGATCGTACTATTTTAAATTATTTATACTCATTATCCTTTATTGAAATGATACAAAATTATTCACGAATAAAAATATTTCTTTTCTTATCTTTCCTAATTTCTTTTCTTATCTTTCCTAATAGTTATTCACGAATAAAAATATTTCTTTTCTTATCTTTCCTAATTTCTTTTCTTATCTTTCCTAATAGTTTTACACGTTCATCTTGACGTTATCTGACAACATAAACTTTTTATATATATTATTTTTTAATTACTTCATACTTAGATTCATAAAATATTATTAGTTTCATAATTATCTTATATATTTTTTTAATATCTAATGATCACATATGACTCTTGATGTTCCTCGTCATATAACTATTAAAAATAATATATTCATTGATCTTTTTGTCGTATTAAATAATTGATCCAAGATACTTAAGGATTTTTTTCTTAAAGAGACTTTTTGTCTATCTAATTTAATTATATTTATTTATTTTTATAATAATTAAAATTATATTTTATATATTAAGTTTTAGTTCAAGTCACCTTCTTTTTCATCATATTCTTAAAAATATTTATATTATCATTTTTAAAGTTCTATTAGTCCCAGTAATTTTTTTTACTATCACTTTCTTCTTTTATTTTCTATAATAAATATCTAATATCATCAACATATATTGATTCATCAAACTTTTGTTATGTATAAACTTACAATTCTTACAAATAACTTTATCTATCTTTCTAGTGAGAAAAAAATATATTTGACTATAGTTATGATCACTCTTATAAGTAATCAAATATTTATCTCTCTTCTTAAAATGGGTATTTATAATCATAAGATCATATGAAGTTGAAAAATCTAAAATTATAGTATTATTTTTATTTCTCTCCATATAACAAAAGCCCTCGTGCGTCCCTCTATATTTACTATATATTTTTCCTATATAATCATTCAAATTTCTTTCAATTATAAGTTTTTTAATTATAGACATTCATCGAATGATATCACCTAAGCTTTTCCAAAAAAATTTTTGGTTTGATGATCACTTAAGAGACATAACCACTAATGATATTCAAAATATATTGTCCTTCCACAAAATTTAAAATTATAATTCTATATTCAAATCTTTTTATATCTAAAATATTATTCTTAAGATCCTAATCAATAATAATTCCTACACAATCTTTGTGTTTAACTTTTATAGTATATCAAACTTTAAATTTAACACTATTGATCTCCCTATATTTTTTTTACTGACTTAGTCTTTTGTAAGAATATAATATTTATTTTTTTGATGTTTATCATTTTTATTTTTTTAAGTTATATTTTAAATTGCTAATCAAACCATTATATTCCTCCAAAAATTTTACACAAATACACATATATCCCTTCAAAAAATTTATATTTTAGTATATTAATAATTATTCAGAACAACATTTTAAGTACCTAATATACATTTTACCACTTTCAAAAATAATTTGTCCCTACATGTTTGTTGATATTCTTGGAGGGTAATATTAATGTTAATTTGAGTATCAACTCATGGAGATTAATTGCAACAAAGTACTTATAATTTCAGAAGAATATGCATGCATAATATGGATTTAGAGAGGAAAAATAAAAAAAATTAATTAATTTTGATAGAATACATATATATATATATATATATATATGGAGGTGTAAGAAGGAAAGTGGAGTGGGTGGTGCATTAGATGCCCATGCACACAGATCTTATTTGGAGCATTGCACATTAAATTTGTTCCTCCCACCTGGTCCCACTTTATGGGCATTGGATATTTGGTGGGGACTAGATTGACCTTCTACTCTCTCTCTCTCTCACTCTCTCTCTCTATCTATCTCTTGGGTTGAGCGGTGAGCTGCTCTCTCTCTCTCTCTTCTCTTCTCTTTCAACCAGTTCTGTTGCCTTTGGCTCTCTTTTGGCCCCTTTGTGGCGTGGGATTCACTCTATCTTCCAACTAGGCGTTGGCATGTGATAGAGACGCCGTTCGTGCTCATCGAGATCTTCACCTGTGTAGATCTCAAAGCACCGTCGTCGTCTTCCATCTCTCGGGCTATATATATATATATATATATATAAAGTCATCCAACCCTACTAAGCAATCTCTTCATCTTACTATTTTTTTTTACCTCAATATATGATTTTTTTTTTTATTAAAGAGGTATACTTTAGAGTTAATAAAGTTATTTAGTCTTATATTTGTTAATGAGTATGAAACCAAAGGCTTATCAGTCCGTCAGGTCTCTCTTATCTTCATACGTGCTTTTTAGAGTTCACATGTTTTGAAAGGATAAAATCGTATGAGTACGTCCATCACCTAAAGTGGATAATTGCTCACGAATCCGACTAACTAAATGATCGTTTATTAGATTGACGCTAAAAGGAAGACTAAGATTTACATATCGATCGAGCAAACTCGTTCCCGAGCTACACCAATAACCGACCAAATGAGCTCTTTGTATCGTCTCCTACCATTGTTAGCTGTCCAAAGGTAAGCCTAACTCGCATACGATTGCTCGTTCCACCAAATCCAACTATTTAGTTTGGTGGATTCGAGTCAAAGATCTCCGCCGTGGAAGACCCAACTAGTTTGATCAAGTGGGTCCATAATCTTTGGACTTCTCAACCAAATAGTTGTCCTTGAATCTTGGTGTTGGAATCCTGATGTCGATAGCAAGCATAAACAATATCTTTGGTCAGACTTTAGCATCTTATCACTAGCAACATCCTCATCCGACCCGTCACTATTGCTTAATGTCCATATGACATGCATGGACTTGAAGAATTCCAACCATATGATTGTCCAATCGAACAAGCAGATAGTGACAACACTGAAATGGTAAGACCAAGACAATGACTTTGTGATGATATTGATGGGCAAAAATCCATCTAATTTGAGAGGGATGTGACTAAAACAAATGCATGAGAGTTCCTCACATAAAATAAAGCCGAAAGCAAGAGAGAGAGAGAGAGATGATAATTAAGTTTTTATATTTAAATAATATTTTTTAGAATTCTAATAATGGGGAAGATAAGTAAGTAAAAAAATAATTAATTAAGTTAAATCTCCAATCGATCGAATTAATTCATGAATAAATTCTTTAGGTGCATATAAGATTAAAGGATGATTCCGACGCTTATAATAGTGACCCTCTTTTTAGATGTAATATTTCTTTTAATTGAATCATATACAATCAAATTGATTTTAAAATCTTATCTCTAGTTTTACGATCATAATATTATACGCAGCATTATCAAAATTTTATAAATTTCTCTATATTAAAATTCTCTATACTTAGGGATCGAGATACTAAAGAGATAATATGTAATTAGTCCTAAAAAAATATTAATTTTTTTACATTGATATTACTCTCATCATCCCTATTTTATTAATTATTTTATTAATAGGTGAATCAAAACATTATTTATTAGAATAAATATAAGTGACTCAAATACTAGTTTGAGAAAATGACATCATTACATTTACAAGCAGTAGCAACTATTTTCCTTTTATATCTGTGGTGTACTTTTGATTTCAATTTGTCTTGTTATGGTTCATCGAATCTAATAATCATTTTGGTAATTTCTATCCTCATTGATTAGTATATCTTTTAATACAAAAAAGAAAACTTCGTATCTTGAGTTAACTCAAAATCCCTTTTACATTCTCTTTCATAAATCCTACATATTTATGTATCAATCTCTTTAAATCTTTTAGGGAGAGAAAAATCTTTACAGCATTCAAAGAACTTTTTACTTCATAGTCATCATAATTAAAATCACGTATTAATGCTCAATTTTTAATGATTTTTTTGGACAAAAATATTTACAATTCCTAATTCTTTGTAGAAAAAGCAAATTATATATATTATTAATTAAATGTTTTTTAAGTACGTACATGCCAGTGAATGAATGACTCGCCCGCGGCCCTGTCGCAGATGTGGGAAGCATTATAATGCCAGTCCTCACGAGTCGTGACACTACTGAGGTGGCTGTTATTATCCAACCACGCGCCATCAAATCGACATCATTGCACACATCCTGTTCACAGCAAGCGACGAATGCTCTTAGTGGTAAAGCGGGCACCTCGGTGTTTTCTGTTCGGAATAACACGGCCGATCGGAAGAGACGATGAGAAAACTAAAGGCCGCGCGACGTTACGAGCCCGCCACGTCGGACACGCTGTTGCGGCCATTCGGCGGGCGCGACCTCTTCCCCGGCCGTCGCAGAGCCCACCGCCACAACCGCCGCCGGTTGGCCGCCCGAAGCACCGTCACCACCTCAGCCATCGATGGTCGATCCCCTGCGGCCGGAGCCAAGCACCTCCCTGCAACCTCTGCGACCGCCCTCGCTGCCTCCTCCTCACTCCTATCCTCCGGCGCCGCCCGCGGGTCCCATAGCTCCTCGAACCTCCCCTCCTCCAGCAACGGCGTCGCCCAGTCCACCAGCGACGGCGGGCTATACTCCACGTCGATGGCCTCCCGCCCGCTGAGTACCTCGAGGAGGAGGACGCCGAAGCTGTACACGTCGGTCCTGGTGCTGGCGTCCACAGGGCGGACGTAACCCGGGTCGAGGTAGCCCATGGTGCCTGCCGGAGGTGGAAGAGACCTGTCCTCATCGCCGCCCGGAAGCGGCAGCCGAATGGCAAGCCCGAAGTCTGCGAGGCGGGTCCGGCCCTTGGCGTCCAGGAGGAGATTGGCGGGCTTGACGTCGCGGTGGACGACGCGGAGGGAGTGGAGTTGCGCGAGAGCAGCGGCGGAGCGAAGGGCGAGGCGGAGGCGGTGTGAGAAGGGCGGCGAGGGGCGGAGCGGGTCGTGCAGGAGGTCGTAGAGCGAGCCATGCGGCATGAGGTCGACGACCGGGATGCGGGGGGACGGCCCAGAGGCCGGCGTAGCGCCGACGAGGTTCACGAAAAGCGGGCTGCGGGGGAGCGACGAGAGGAGGTCGATCTCGGCGTCGGTGGCCGAGGGGGAACCGGAGGAGGCAAAAGCCAAGGAAGGGAGCTTGGCGGCGGCGAGTAAGCGCCCTTGGTCGAGCGAGGCGCGATAGACCGAGCCATGGCTGCCGCGGCCGAGGAGGGCCGAGGCTGAGAAGCCAGAGGTGGCAGCGTGAATCTCCTCATACGTGAAGACCCGGTGCTTTTGGCCCCTCGTCTGCACTTCTTCATCTTCCTCTTGGTACGAACTCTTGCAGCAAGCCAAGGGCCTCATCTTGAGTTCGGAGACAGATTACCGAGGAACGAGGAGTTTGCGGCACGAAATTTGAGGCGTGAGGGAGAAGCGAAGAGATGGCGTGCCGGCGTTGAGGAAGGGATGTCTGTTTCGTGTTCTCCACTAATCCCTGCGTCCACAACACGGGATTGTGCCTCCAACTAAGCTTCGAAGTGCAGCAGGGGAACCACGGCCAACGCTTTGCGACACTTGGGCTTACCCGCATTGTCTACCATCCATTTAATTAGTTCAACTCGGTAGGCCCATGATCCTTCGGTCACGTGATCTCTCGTGTGGGTGTCGCGGAGAGTCTCCTCCCTTGTTTGACGCTCGTCCAACTCCACCTATGCATTGGTTTGACCGTTGACAAATTAAAGTCGAGTACATGGAAAAGTCCACAAACTAATCTCCTTATACGGCATCCGACAAAATACTCGTCTCCTTTGGAATCTATTTTTGGACAAGATGGAAAAGTCTACCAGCGTTGACTTTTCTCAGCACAAAAATGTGGTATCCATGTTTGAAGGAAAGAAACAAACATACATTTGACTTGCTCATTTTGGCTAGCGAGAAGCTGATTTATTAGAGTTTCTTAGAGACCCAATTTGGGGGTTTCTTATAGAGAAGACATTTGGGGGTGAAGGTGGTGATCGATGGGAGGGGAAGGGATGAAGATATCGCAAGAGCACTCAGACCGATGGAAGATATCGCAAGAGGTGAGGAGATGCTCACCTCTCTTCAATCAAGACGAGGCAGCCTTGAAGGAGGGTTCACTTGGGTATTCAGCATAGGCGAGAAGCTAAAAATAAGAGAGGCAGTGGAGGATCACAAGCTCACAGTGCTTCCATGTGATCACCTCCAAATGAAGTGGAGCTCATCCCATGCCACTGTCTTCTCTTGATCCATACCTGGATTAAAAGTATCCACAGGTATGGGCACTGTGAAGCCCAAATGCCATGCCACATTGCTAGATTGGATCTCAGGATGATGTACTTGATTATTAGGGCTAAGTAAAGATGCCTAAGGGAGGGAGGGAGCCAAAAAGAGAGAAGACAAGTCTGCAGGGAATAATTCCCTCCATCCTTTGAATACAACTGCTATGATCTTGGTTTAGAAGCTGAAACTTCCAAGAGTGGTCCACCTACAGTCCCACAGCCACCTAATAGACACTGTATCCTGCTCTGATCCTTGAAGGCCATATATGCTGCCTTCCCAAGATTTAGACTGACGAGGGGTGGGGGGGGCTCTCTGGAAGCAAATTCCAGGAGTCTGAGCTGACAAGCAGTGAAATAGTAGGGTGACAGGCATTAGAAATACCATAAAACTATTTTTTAAGCAGATAATGACAAATGAACAATAATTCTCACAAGAAATCCACTCCCTGCTATTTTTTCTCTTCACTTTCCATTCAGCTTTCTTTTTCTCTGGTCTGTGTTCACCTTTGATCCTTGAAGGGATTTGTTTCCAGGTTTCCTCGTTTTGCAAAGAAAACCAATACATTATTCCCCGGAGAGGTGTCTCTCTCCTCTCAGATTTATATGTTTGGCATTTCTCATTCTGATTTGTTCTTTCCAATCTGAACAAGCTAGTGGCATTCTTTCTGAACACACCAAAATCCTGCCTAACCAAACCAAAACACTTGTTTTTTTCAAGGTGCTAAAACATCTTAAGAGATCAGGTACACACAAAAACTCCATGACATTGATCATCTGGTTGTTTTCCTCCTCTTGCTAGCTGGAGAGAGACCAAGACATGTTGCATGTGACACAACAGTTGCATCATCACTCTTGTAGCTCAGGCATGCAGCATGCAACACCCCAACAGGGCTTTGGGGCACACAGGATACCGAGGAGACTAGGTCTTTGGCTGACTGCTTCCGCATCAATACTTTGTCTTGAATCACTTCATAACATCCCAACACCCCTTCCTACAGCACCCAACAAAGACAGTAAAAATTCATCCAAGGAAAGAAAACACCTCTTGAGCAACACAATAAAATGCATTAATGATCTTTAACTTGAGGTAGTAACACTAGAGAAAGATAGTCTTTTGATCGAAAAAGAAGTAATGTAGAGATCATTTTACCTTAGCTACATGACAGCAACAAGACAAGGCCTCGTCAACATCCACAATCTGGGCTTCTCCCAAAACCAACAGTGCAATGGCTGCAGAAATTACTGAGGGTCTGAATGCTAGGAAATCAATGCCTGCATCCAATTGTTGCATTGTTAAGCACACATCCCAACCCACCAGTTCTTGTGTCACACCAAAATCCTGAAATTTACAGCTATGCGCAAGAGATGTACCTCTAATTGTGCTCAGGATGAGTTCGGCAGATCGAGAAAGTGACACCTTGCTAGGTGCACCACAACCATTGAACTTGTGGAGGAAGAAATCTATGAATGAGAAAGGAGTCACAGCTTGCATCCTCCATTTGAGGGTGCTCATCACCAGAAGCTCCATTCTCTGAATTGTCCTTCCTTCAAATATATATTTTGCCTCACCAACCTATACAAGGCAATCCAGGGATGTTTACAACTGCTAATTTTGTGAAGAATATATCAGAGAATTCTACTCCTGATTGCTTCTCACCTGTAAATCCAGGGACAGAGGAACTTCAGTTTCCTCCATCTTGGCAGCCAAAGATAGGCAGGCCACAGATAATAGTTGTGTCATCCAAGCCTTGCCTTGCTGCAATTACAGATAACAAAAGAACAAGGAAAATAGGTCACATAAAGGCTCTACTTGACATAAACAAAAAAGAGCAATGCATGTCTAATAGATCAGATTACAGGCACTGAGAGTGATTCTTACTGGGAGATCATAGGAAGAGAGGAACCTATCCAAGTAATTTACAGATAAATAGGCACTCAGTGGTCCAAAATTGTAATGAGCATGAACCTGTTCCACAAACCAGAAATGCCATCAATCCACAGCTGAGGAGAGGAAAAGAAGAATCAAAGCTTGAGACTAGAAAATAATTGTAAAAGCAAATACACAAGAAACCAAATATGCTTTCCCAAAACCACATTTCAGACAAACTATGCAGGATGGATTAAATAGAAACCATATTGTCTTAAATCATATACACAAAATTATAAGCATAGCACTCATTAAACTACTGGTATTTATAAGAGAAAGTAGTATGACTCTGGACATTACAAGATGCAGGAAAGGGCAGATAAATAGAGGATGAGATAAACAATGCACAAAAGATGGAATAAGTAGAAGAAAGCCTGGATGTAAGCATCAATATGAGATATCGGATACCAACCAAATCGAGTTTGTAACCTTAGTGGTCATCAATTTATAAGCAGTTTCTTTTTTTTGCCTTGTAAACATATCGACATATACACATAGATTGATCATCAAAATCAAGAAAAAAGCGAAGAAAACAATGGAATAATTAAGAAAAAAAAAAGAGAAAGAAGAACCCGCCTTCCAAATCCAATCAATAGCATCTCTCCTGATGGAGGAGTCCAACGCCCCAGAACACAGCCTCTGGCGGTAGTCCTCCCTCGGCAGATGCTCCTGCTCTCTCTCGACCAACAAGCTCAACAACTCATCCGACTGCAGGGGAAAACCCGCGAGGATATCCCCATAAAAATCGCACCTTTTTGGTTCAGAAACCCATCCAGGCCTATGCCCGCCCTCCTCCTCACCATCGTCGAAGCCCAGGATGCTGTCGTTGTCCTCAGCGCACAGGAGGATAGAGGAGGCGCAGTCACAACTTGGACTCATTGCTCAGTGAGACAAAAGAAGACCGAGATGCAGACAAGGTAGTTGTGAAAAGTTCACTCTAGAGAAAGGGGTCCCTGTTGTTCCTCCTCCTCCCTCCACCTCTTCCTCTTCCTCCTTCAAAGTTGACTTTTTTTTGGCACAGAAGATGAGTTCAATGCCAGTACTATTCCAGTGTTGAAGGAGAGGCAGAGGAGAGGTGGAGGGGTGTCACTGTTGCATAGAGAGGAAAGTTGAGCTTTTTCTTGAGAGATGGAGAGAGAGAGAGAGAGAGAGAGAGAGTATTTAGGGGAGAGGGAGACAAATAGGGAGGAAATTATTAAAAAAATATATTTTATTTATTTATTGCTCCATTAGAATGTGGGCTTTGTGGTGTGGGCTTCTGACTCTTTGGGGCTTGTGGGAGTGATGATGACTCACTAAAAAAAATGTGATGATGTGATAATTGATTGGTTGGAAATATTTTGGGTGATTAGATTGTGCATGATATGGTTGTAGAAACTATAAAGGCAAGATATAAGGAGAGGCTTTTGAGAGAGAGCACATCAGGGACCAACACAAAAGCAAGAGACAGAGCTTTTATGGCTTGGGAGATGCAAACCTGTGAAATTACAAAGGAAGACACACTTGTTAATATATTACATATTGGTTAACATGAAAATTACTTAAACTACTTGCAATGCATTAGTATTAATCAATAGGCAAGATAAAATCAGTGAGGGATGCTAATTTTGGGGGCCAGTTTATTTTGAGATGGAGATTGGTTAATGGATTATTAAACTTTTATGAGTTTCCATGTAGCTAATTAAGTAAAAAAAAAAAAAGTAGTAGTAATTTCTATTGGTTTATATCTTGTGGGATGAGATGCATTATCAAATAAATTCTCAAAAAATGTGCAACATCTTAATTACACCTTAGATTTGGACAACCTTTGTAGGTTGTGATGGTGCAGCAACATAGGATAAGGACTGTTAGGTCATTTCAGGGTTTGGGAGGAGCACAGCTCATCTCCTTGGGCAGTCAACATGTTTATTTAGGGGGGAAGGGAACATCTCTTTTGAAGGACCTTTCAAGTAAAGTTGAGGGCATTTGTGGAAAATGATATGGCAGGGGCTGACCAATAGGAGCAGGGCTCTGCTCTCTAGTCTTCTCTCTTTTTCTTGGAGATTTGCCTTTTTTATTATCACCTTAATTTTCACACAGATAAATGAGAAATTTCTTTGCAATTGTTTGATGGATTTTTTTCTTCTTCTTCTTCTTGGAAATGCATATGATGGGGAGCTCAAAATTCAGTGTTTCTGATTCAATTATGTGCAAACTCTTTCTTTATGGAGATTTTACAGCAAACATTTGACCATTGCCAATTTTGCTATGTGTAAATACTAAGGAAATTAAATTCTCATTTTTTTTATATAATTAAGTTGTTCCCCTAAACAATTGAGAATTTCTGATGCTCTGTAAAACATGAGATG